TCCTTACTCTTAATTTGCTTTCCTTTTAGTTGGAAAATGAAAATACTTATCTAAAACCAATGCTAATTTCTTAAAATGCATGGAGAGGTAAAATTTACATCATAAATATTGAAGAAAAGATAAAGCATGTGTATGCCTGGGAAGTCCTTGTGTAGTGGTGAGCTTTAAAGATGGTGCTTGCTTACCTTGGTCTGGCAGAGAGATGAGAGGCTCCCATGAGTCTAGGGAGAGCGTGCACAAGGCTCCCGTGAGTGTCCTGAGTACATGTCCTGCCATGGGAAGAGGAGGATTCGTACCGCGGAGCAGGACGTGACCTTGGTAAAGTAGAACAGAGGACTCTGAATATGCCAGTAGTCTCCGCCTCATTTTTCCCTCCTTCATTGCAGAGTTACTCAGTCATGCCTTGTGAAAGGTGGCTGACCTGTGCTGGTAGGGAGTGACATCCTCTGGCTTTAAGGCTCTGCCACTCGTGTGGCCTGAAAAGGCAGTATGTAAGAGGAAGATGTCCACCTTCCATGTATGTTTTCATAGAAGGCAGGTCTAAGGGAACTCAAGGCAGATCCTCCACATTTTCTTGCTGTCATGCTCTGTCAAAGCAGCAGAGGCAGAGGGGGACTCTTAGACCTGGGCTTAGAACCATTTTGAGTCTCGTGATGTCACTCAGATCCGCTGTGTCTCCTGGCTTCCATTTCTTCATCTACAGAGGTCACCTGTGATTCTGGATGACTCTGACATCCTGGATCTCTATACTAGTCTAAAAATTCAGGCAGGATGGAAGCTTTAGCCTCTGTTAACATCGCTACCCATTGCAAATAAATGACAGGACCTTAGTGGCAGTGATTACCCTGGGATCCTGAGGAAAGCGAGCGTGCTCACTGACCTTCCTGGAAGCCATGCACTTCTGGCCTGGCCCTTTCTCCTTCATGTCTTCTCCCCATGGCTCCATAGTGTAGACTTACACACAGACACTGGCTAAAGATACTGGGCACAATATCAGTGGCAAAACTTCTCTTCACTAGTAGCAACTGCCATTTGTGGGACCCTGCCCAAAACATGAGTTCAAGTGACATATGATGCTTGGGAAGAGCTTTGAACACTCTTTAAAGAGAGTTTTACAAAGTTCTATGTATGTGGAATGGTATTTGAATTACGTTTTAGGTTTGGTGTCTGTATTGCTTAATGCTTATTGTATCTTTTTTTTTTTAACGTGTCAAAACTATACCAGGTATTGTACAGAGTTCCTGATCTCTAGACTCATTTACTTATTCATTTATCCCTCCATTCACACACCTACATTTAAAAACAAAATTTAAGCTCTCGCCATGTAGTAGGTTCTGAGGGATATGAGAGGAAAATCAATCAGGACCTCTACCATCCAAAGCTTACTTTAGAGTGAGAGAGGACAGGCGAAGAAACAGCTAAGAATTCAGTAATGACTAAGAGCCCAAAAGAGTGATATGGAAAATAAATGCTATTGGAATGGAGTGAAATAATGCAATTATATAATAGAACAGTTGGGGAGGGGCAGCCGAAATGTTGTAGAAGGGGAAGGAGATTCTCACATGCCAGCGGCTTTGCAGAGATGTTGTGTATTCTGGGCTCCAAGAGAAAGAATGCCATGAGACGGTTAATAAAGTACCTGGGTTTTATGTGAGATTTGTTGAAGCAATAACTCCTACCATTTAAAAGGCCCCAGTGAAGCTTTGAAGTTCACACCTCGTTGCTGAGAAGTATAGGACAGACACAATAAAAAATAATTTCAAAAAAAAAAAGAGTAGGACAGAGGACTCTGAATATGCCGGTGTATGTCCTACCTGGATTCCAGGACCCTCTCTCTTTTTCTCTGTCCGAACCTGCCTCTTCAGCTGGGATGTGTAACTTCCACGGTGATACACAGGTACAGTAGAAGAGAAAATGTGTGTTAAAGTACTAGGTAAAGGCCTGGAAACGTTCAGTATTGTTGTTAGTAAACACTGAAGGGGAGACAGACAAGGATTAGACAGATCTCTGCCCTCAACAGTTTACGCAGTCTGTAGTCAGGAGTTAAGCATGACCCAAGCTAGCTAGCTACATTAGAAGGCAGTGTGTGAAAGATGCCGAGTCGGGGATTGCAGGCTACGAGAATTAAAGCTCAGAAGTTCTCTTTAATTCTCCCTTATGTTGGTTTCACTTCTTTCCACCACACTTTCTTGCTCTGAAGATTCAAGAAACCTGGTTGGGTAGAGAGAGGCTATTTCCTTTCCCCCATAGACCTTGGGAGGGAGGGGCAAGATTTTTTTTTTTTTTTTTTACTTTTAACATTGCTTTTATTTTTATTTGTGCTCCACGGGCATTTTACGCATATATTCTTCCCTATGTATATTAGGTTGTGAAAAGCTTTTGCTGCTGCTGTTTTAATGAGCAAGGTGTTTGCATCTGTTTTTACGACAGCTACGTTCATTTGCAAGCTAACTGTGGTGAGGGGTGCAGATAGCAGTTCTGGAATGAAATGCATCTGTAGGAAACCAGCAGGTCCTCAGGGAATCAAACTCTTGACCTTGGTCTCATTCACATTATGGCATGAGCAAATGAACTAATTGCTCACTATTTAGTAGGTTATATCAACAACAAAACCTCAAAGAGTTGTTAACAGGATCCTGAGGACAGTAACTCACATGGGGGCAGCATGTAGGCACCAGAAGAGCCTCCTTAGATAATTTCAGGCAAGTTTATTTAGACAAATAGACTTTTAAGGCAGAAAATTTATATACCTGTGTTGTGTCAACTAAATTTCTTTAGGGTCACTAAGATTACAAAGAGGTCAGAAGTCAAAGAGGTCTGTCTAGTTGGTGGCTTTTGTGGAGTAAATGGCTCCCCTTCTCTGGACCTCAGCTTCTCTATTTGTCAATGGGTTGGATTAGGATTATGTAAACAGTAAATGAGGGGTTTGGATTTTTCCATCAGAGCACCCCAATCCGCAGAGGAAGGTAAATGAATGCCTTAGGGGACCTGGAGGCATAGTTTTAAAGCTTCACAATGGAAAGTTTTGTTGAAGTCATTTTTTGTTTGTCTAAAAATTCACCCAAGTGTTGCATCTACTCCATATCATGTTCATGTTTGCTGTACAGTGTGCCCCTGTACCCCTGACTCCCAAGTTGAGTAAAACCAGCCCATCGGGAAGATGCACCATGTTTTTCTTGGGCTTTAAGTAACTCCTGGCAGGACTGGCTTTATTTAATCAGGGGGCTGTAATCAGGAGTTTTAAACTGTCTCTGGGGAGCTCTGAGGCTATGAGGCACATCACTGGGACAGTTACTGAGCGTTGGCTCTACATTTATAAAGTTAGATGTGGTGATAGAGCTTTTAGAACTCTCCAGGCTTTCATCTCGACCATTTTAATAAGTAGATAATACTACATTTTCTTTACTTTAGTTGATATAATATCTAAGTCTTTTCTTCTTTTTTAAAATTTGTAGTTCTAATGTGTCTAGGGACACAGGAATGAAAAAGTCAGGACACAATGTCAACATAACCCAAGAAGGTGGTCTAAAAGAAAGCAAACAAAAAACCTGAGTTCATGTACAAAACAGAGATTAGGAGTATAGATACAACCCTATTCAATGAAAGAAAATTTAATTATATCATTTGCTTCTGCAACAATTATTATAAATAAATTAAAGATGAGGAAGGGGTTTATGTTCTTTCTTTTTCCCCATCATAGACTATTATATAAGGGATCTCATGAGATATCGTTGCAAGTTGTTAATATTCTTCATACAGAACAACACATTGCAGTATGTTTCAGAAACATTTCTTGGTAACACAAAATGACTAAGCAAATTCCAGAAGATTCTATTTTCTGTAAGTTATAAAAATTACTGTAGAATCCCTTTAAAGTCTGCATTAGCTCTCTGCCCAGAAGGAGTTACCCCTCAAGACATTACAGTCTCAAATGACTAGAAATGATTGGTCAACGTTCTGTAAACCTAGCGGGAATTTGTTGCATTGTTTTCTGTAAACCACAAGCAGCACTCATTAATTGAAAAACGAATGTCAGTTTACATTAGCTGGCATCTATAAACCCAAAAGACACAGTGATCCTGGCATGTTATGAATAATAAAAACATCAGCACAGTGTATCAGGTAAAACAGAGAAGGTGAGGGGGGTGGAGCGATAAATTCAAAACCATATTGGAGTTTACTGGCAGAGCACCACATAAAGGGTTTTAATGAGGCCTCTGCATCAAAATAAGGGAAACCACATGGAATTTTAATTATGACTACAGTGTGTTTTAAGTACAAATACCCACGAGAAGCGTTTTTTTAGATTGACAAGCCTGTGTGATGTCTGTGCTTCTGTGGGGTGGGGTGGCGGTGGGGGGCAAACACTGATGTTTTAAGTGTGACTTCTTGCTTTTGAAATCGCTCACATTATTCTGGTTTCTTTCACATGCTCTGAGCATTGAACTTAAAGTGTACAGAAGTGGCCCGCCTATAACTATTAGCTCTGCCACTTCAAGTTCACCTACGTGCTCTGCAATGAAATGGCTGGCCGAGGAGCATCTGTGGCCTCCATATCACGCCTGTAGCATGTCAGGCAACACATACGCATGGGGTGGGAGACACATGAAATGTCATCGGCTCCCCTTCGCAATTCTGTCATCATCACTACTTCTACATTTTTAAACTTGAGCTTGTCGAAGCTTCGTATTTGGGAGGGTTTCGGTAGAGGCCAGTTGAGGATGGAAGAATTTATAGAAAAGCAGAGAGTAACTGCCCAGACCGTGTTAGTTTTGGTTTGTCATCTTGAAAGTGTTTGCTTCTGGTATTAGAAGCTGCTCACTAGCTTTTTACCTTCTGCTTATGGGCCTGTGAATTCCGGGAAAGTACTAATGAGGGGTGGGAACTTCTCTGCCTCCCCCTCCCCCTAAGGCTGTCGCTTCTCCTTCTGTCTTGGAATTCATGGTGATAGAACATTAGAGCTGGAAGGGAACTTAGAGCTCATCCCCCTCATTTTACAGATGATGACACTGCCACCTCTGACTTCTGCCTCTGGCCTTCCACTCTCAGTAAGAAGAGCCAGGCAGGTGAGACTTTTAACAATTGCTGGGCTCGGCTGGGTGGGACTGTCTGATTGCTACTGTCCGATTTGTGAGAAAAACTTTTGTTAACTATATGTTGCTTTTAAATAGTCACTTTTTATTACACATGCATGCCCTGGCACTTACCCTGAGCATTTTATGAAGATCACAAGCAGTGTGCATTTTCACAAAAGTTAACGACTCTCAATCAGCACCTTTGAAGAAGAGGATTAGGATTATTCCTTTAATAAATATTGTCGTGCCCAAGAACGAGTGCTAACTAAAAATGGGACTGAAGAAGCACCTGCTCACTGAGGCCTTCACAAATTACTAAGTGCTTTCCCTTATTGATAAAAGCTCTAGGAAAAGCAAACATAGGAGATCCAGAGAACTGGAAGATTGTACGTACGATCCAGATCTTCAGAGCACTGGTATTTTAAAAGGGCTTGTCACCATTCTGTCAATTTTAGAAAATCATAACCCAATCTTTGAAAACAAATTTCCACAAGAAGTGGTTTATAACTGTGGTTTCATAAGCTAAACACCAGCAATATCTATTAAGGAAGGATACCGTTAGCTTTAGAAGCTAAAAGACTTTACATTGTAGGGTAAAACCATCTTTGCCTCCAGGTTACAGGTTCAAACTGGCCTGAAGCTAATTCTGTAGGATGTGGTACAGGGGCCTGGTAAATGGATGGTGAGGTACCCTCCTTGTATCTACCCTATGCAGCCAGCCTTTCACAAAAGCTATTGTTGGCACCTGCCCTCAATCAGGTCCTGTGTCTCCTATCAAGGCTTGAAATGCAGTGATTTCCAGGTACTAAGCCTCCCCCAACACCCCCACTTTTAAAGCCTACTTATTTAGTTTATGACCCTTGGGGGAATTTCTAAGGGCTACGCTTTCCCTATATGCCCCCCAGAAAAGTAATATAGTTCCAGAATACATGGAAATCTGGTTTGATTTTAATCTGGTTTGATTTTTTTTTAATCTGTTTCTAAGATGAAGAATAAAACAAGATTTTAAATTAAGAGTTGAAAAGAAGTGATAGGAACATATTAGGGTATCTTTTTGACGTTCCTTCATTGATGAAGGAGGGCCTTGTTAAGAGTACCAATAACACAACTGATCACCTTGGAATTTCTTTATTTGGGTTGAGAAAAGGAAGCTTGTCCGATTCAGTAAAAATGTCACTTTCAAATATCTGAGGTGCACCGAGAAAGAGAAAGAGAGAGGAAAAAAAAAAAAAATCAATGAGGATTCAGTCAAAAGTCTGGTGAGTGAATCTATATGAACAGAGTGTTGGGTTGGTTTACACATATGACCTAGCACACATTTGGGTTTTTAAAGCCCTTTGGGATTCTCTGGGGGTGAAGAACTTTAGGATAAATGCCGCACTAGACTGTAAAGTGAAAAAAAAAAAAAAAAAGAAATGTGTAGTGACCGGTACCTTTGAAGATCTGTTTGTAGTTTTGCTGTTCCTTTTTGGGGGAAGCTTAAGTTTTTGTTTTTGTTTTTTTTCTTGTAAAAATTCTATCATTATTTTAATTGATATTTACAGATTTTTTCCCCCCATCTTCTGTTATAATTTTTAGGTGCTTCAGAACTGGGCCCTTTTTCAGACCCCAGGCAGTTCCCAAGCATTTCATCCCTCACTGAGAGCCGCTTCTCCAACCCACGAATGCACTATCCAGCCACCTTTACTTACACCCCGCCAGTCACCTCAGGCATGTCCCTCGGTATGTCCGCCACCACCCACTACCACACCTACCTGCCACCACCCTACCCCGGCTCTTCCCAAAGCCAGAGCGGACCCTTCCAGACCAGCAGCACGCCATATCTCTACTATGGCACCTCGTCAGGATCCTATCAGTTCCCCATGGTGCCGGGGGGAGACCGATCTCCTTCCAGAATGCTTCCGCCATGCACCACCACCTCGAATGGCAGCACGCTATTAAATCCAAATTTGCCTAACCAGAATGATGGTGTTGACGCTGATGGAAGCCACAGCAGTTCCCCAACCGTTTTGAATTCTAGTGGCAGAATGGATGAATCTGTTTGGCGACCATATTGAAATTCCTCAGCAGTGAGTGGCCCCAGTGGTATGTGGGAGCCACATCCCAAATGTATCAATATATACATATATAGAGAGAGTGCATATATATGTATATCAATTAGCTATCTACAAAGTGCCTACTTTTTAGAAGATTTTTTTTTCATTCACTCAACGATCTTGCAACCATAAGAGGGGTAGATACTGAGAAGCAAAAGGCCCAAGAGAGACGATCATAATCAGGTTTCAGATTGTTTTTCTGTTTTTCTTTAAATAGAAAAAAAAAAAAGCCGTACTTTTACAAGCAGAGGAAAAAGGTATTTTTGTTGCTGTTGTCGCTTGGTCTGTTATAAATAACTTGTTCATATGCCAATTCAGAGAGGTGGACTCCAGGTTCAGAGGGAAGAGCAAAGCCGCTTCCTCTGTGTGCTTTGAAACCACACATCCTCACGGTTGCAGCTGTGTATGGACTCGTGCACTCTGCAGACCAGCTTACAAAGCCAGTCGAGGTGCACGTAAAGGGAAAAGAGGTAGAATGGACGTTTCCATTACAGTATAACTGTTCCAAACTTTGCTTTCAGACTTGCTCTAAGTCTTCATTTGGACGGTTTGGTTCAGTTTTTTTTTTTTTTTCCTACTTTGAGAAAGTGACTTCAAAAATACTGATCAGGATAGGTTATTTTATTTTACTTTTTTATACTTTCCTCCCCTCCCTTGTCCCATTTCACCAAAAAAAGAAATACCATCCCGAAACCTCCCCTCTTCTCCTTTTATGCAAAACTGAAAATGGCAATATCTTGTTATAGCCATCATGGTATAGATAGTGTTTGTGTTTGGCTGTGTGTTATTTTTCTTTTTTTTTTTTAAATTATGAATATGTGTAAAATCTGAGGTAACTTGCTAAGTGAATGGTCATATAACTTTAAAGATATATTTATAATTATTTAATGACATTTGGACCCTTGAAACATTTCTTAGTGTATTGATATGTTGACTTCGGTCTCTAAAAGTGCTTTTTATTAAATAACAAATTTCTTCCGTGGGCTAGAGCCATACCTGAAATATTGCTAAGCAATTTCAGTTCATCCAGGCACAATGTGATTTTTTAAAATACTTCCATCTCCAAATATTTTAGATGTAGCTCGTTTTTGTGATGTATGAAGGAAATGTTATGTTTAGTTCTTCCAGATCTTCGATTGCCTCTAACACAGCTTTGCCTTTTAAAGCAATAATTAGGGATTAAAAACAAAAAAACAAAAAAAGCCCCAACTCTTTATCACGTATGTTGCCCTTTGTCAGCATGAAATGCTGGAGTGATGTGGTTTCCTCGTTTCTTTCAAATAACAATGACTCTTGTCATATTAAAAAGACAAGCACAAGGGACTCGTTGAACTGCAGAAAAATGTTCTGTGGTTTCATCGCTAAAGTAGAACTCTAAATTGCCAGGCTTCAAAGTGAAGATGTAGTGAGCTTAAAGCCACACGTGTGGCTTGAAGGAGCCATCATGATACACATAGTACAGAAAAGCAACATTGCACCAGAGATCCTTAACCAGCCTGCCTTACCTAACAGTAGGTCGGGGTAACCCACATCTGCCTTTCTCAAGGCCCCACGCAGACTCTCCACAGAATTTGCATTTAAAGGAGCAGAATTAAGTCACTGCCTTCTGGGAACAGGGTCACCTGAAATAGCAGGCGAGATCCAGCAGATAGCTGATGGGCGAGAACACAGCCTGTGGGGTCCCACCTACAACCTTAGACATTCTCATCTCCTGCCTTGGAGGGGAAGGGGAAGGTAAGGCCATGTGGAGTTTGGTGTCTACTACTGTGTATGAACTTGAGCTGACGCCCTTCCGTAGGATGCACTTTGACCACTCCTGGCGGCCACATGGCAAATCCTCCAGCGTGAATCCTTAATCCAAGCCAGGACCGGTTAATGACACTGCCAGGCAGATCCCTGACCTCCTCACCTCCCCCACAGGTCAGGGCCCTTTCATTTGAATTCTATGCCTTCTCCCCACCCGCTTCCCGCCACCCCGCCTTCCCCCCTACCCACCATTTAGCAGAACTTTATGTAGAGATTTGCCCCAGCCCACAGAGAACCCTCACTCTCTCCAGTCATTCTCAAGCCCACCTTACTAGGCCACCAACCAATGCAGGACAGCTTGCGGGGCACTCGGACCCGCGCTCCTTTTGCCTGGGAGTCCCCCGTGGAATGAATTCCTCCTGACTCCTAATCAAAATTGAGGGGAAACCAAACCAAACCAAAACACTTTGCCTTCTAAAGGTTGTATACCAAGTATGCTTAGATAAATAAGCCACTTTTCTATTACTTAAGTAAGATGGAAGTAGTAATTGCTACTATTTATTGTTTGTGTGTGGTAGCTTGAAGCACGCCACTGTCCATTTATTTGTAAGTGTAAAACGTGTGTGTTTGTTTCAGCAGCACTTAAAAAAGCCAGTGTCTGGTTACACATTTCAGTTTTAATTAATTGACATGAAAATGTTACCGCCAGTGCCAGCTGTACCCTATTTAATAAAAAAAGGTACTATATTTGTACGTTATTTTCTAATGTTAAAGGGCTTTTTTAAGTTTACAGTACACGTACTAAGTGACTTTAGGGATGCTTTTGTGTTGAAGTGTTATTATAGTGGCTGCAGGCAGCAACCCAGAAACACTTAAAAATTTTTTTTCTTGGGAAAAATTCAAGCACATCTTCCTTCTACCCTCACTCTAACCACTCCAATGGGGTAATTCATGTTTTGGGATCAAATCCTGCCCTTTTTTGGCCTAGGGGTTAAATTTTTCTTTTATCTTTTTTTTTTTTTTTTCCCTTAACAGAACCCTTACTTTGCACTGGGTCATGTGTATGATTTGTGATTTCAAGACCAAAGCAAAGCCTTACTACTACTGCTATGGAATCACGTATTAGCCTACCCTCAATTTCCTTCAGGTTAAAAGAGCATGGCTCTTCATGTAGCATAAACCTTGCTGGAGTTTAGACAGCGTGACCAACTCAGCCACTTTTTTTTTTTTTACTTTTTTTATCTGTTTCAGTTGTCTCACAAATTTTAACCAATGTCAGAGCTCCAGAACAGGTACCACAGCTTTGGTTTTAGATCAGTGGCATGACATCCCGCCTGAAACCGAGAGACTCAACAGATTAGCTGTTGTTTGTTCTTTCGACTGTCTTACCCCACCAGGACCTTTTATACACGAGCAGAGAAATCCACACCCTTAGGGACCAACCGTTGCAAATTCGGAGGGGAGGAGATGTGTGTGCTGGCTTAAAGAGCGCCCTCCATTCCCAGGAAAGGGACTGACTCAGAGTCTAGGTTAATACATGGAAACACAAAGCATTATTAGCAAAAACAATAATTATATCTATGATGTCCGAAAGAACCATCGTAAATAACATAAATAGAAGACGACTCTTCCAAACCTTGAATTTGTGTTCTTAAAAAGATAATGCATTTAAAAAATATTTTCTATGTGAGAATTTTTTAGATGTTTGTTTACTTCATGTTTACAAATAACTGTTTGCTTTTTTACTGCAGTACTTTGAAATATATCAGCCAAAAATCATAACTTACAGTAATTTCTTAGGTATTCTGAATAAAATTCCATTTTTTTTTGGATATGCTTTACCATTCTTAGATTTCTGTGGAACAAAAATATTTGTAGCATTTTGTGTAAATACAAGCTTTTCATTTTTATTTTTTCCAATCGCTATTGCCCAAGATTTGCTTTCCATGCACATATTGTACAAATTCTGCTTTGTGCCACAGGTCATGATTGTGGATGAGTTTACTCTTAACTTCAAAGGGACTATTTGTATTGTATGTTGCAACTGTAAATTGAATTATTTGGCATTTTTCTCATGATTGTAATATTAATTTGAAGTTTGAATTTAATTTTCAATAAAATGGCTTTTTTGGTTTTGTTATGTGTGTACATTGGGTCTTTTCTCATTCGCGGCTTCTCCTGTCTGACACCTACTCCCGCCTACACCTGGGCACTTACTAGTCATAGGACTTACCAGGGCTGAATGAGAGCAGGGATCTTATGTTACCGGGTAGAGGAAGAAAATGTTGGTAAGCGCTGGGTTCTTGCTTTGTCCTCTTCCTAGAGAGGGGAGGGTGAGGAATCAAGCAATAAACTCACTTCCTTACCGGGCTGTGTCTGAAAGGAAGGAGTGCTCACCCCATCCGTAGGTGAAGCCCCGTATTCCAACCATGAGACCAGTTAGGGTGCAAAGACAGCAGCCATGATGGTTCCATGATTCTGATCCCTGGGCACCTGGACAAGGGCCGGCAAATGAACCCCTGGCTGTTAGTCAGAGATCTCAGGCAGCCCAGCCATAGTGGGTCGTCTGTTTTCCTTCCCACATCTCTTTTGGGTTCTTAAAAAGAAAGTCAACCAAAGCCCAAGGATGAGTAAAAACAGATTTTGGTCTGGAGAGTGCTAGCCTCAGAAAAATTCTACTAATGAGCATAACCATAGTTTGCAGATTCCCGCCCCCCCCACCCCCACCCCGGGCCATTGTTTGCTTTTGGTAAGTCCCTCCCCTGTGACGAGGTTGAGGGCCTGGGTAGAGTGGTGGCTTTCTTAATGTCCTGTGCTTTCTGTACGCCTTGGCTTACCACAGTTCTAAAAGAGGGACCAGGAAACCGTGGTGCAGAGAGAAAGAAGCTCAGTAACTGGCCAGTGGCCCACGTGACAGGAGAGTCAGACGTCTCCTTTGGGAGGATCGACTCATTCTTACCCCTTTCCCATGTTTCCTGAGAAATCATGGAAACAGTGAATTTTTAAGACTAAGAGACATCCTAAAAAGACTTGGGTGAATTTAGGCCAGGGAACATGTTTGCAACTCTTCAAGGATGTATATTTATGTATCCTTTTCAATTCAACATCTGTGTGACTTTCAAAGGCATCGCATGGGAGGTGCAGGTGGGCACAGTGGCATTCCTTCCCTCTCCAGCTTTGTCCAGCAGCATGGTTTTAGGGCAAATCACTCTATTCCTTTGGGTCTCACTTTCTTGGTTTATGGAAAGGCTTTGGGCTAGACCAGGGGTCAGCAAACTGTGGCTTGCAAGCCACATGTGGCTCTTTGGGTACATACATGTGGCTCTGAAGTAAAGTTGAAAATGAAAATAAAACTATCGTAGTTTCATTTATAAAATTTTTAAAGGCTATTATTCACATAATGGTGATTTCATTTGTTTTATGGATCTCGAATAATTTTTAAATTGTTGTGAGGGACAGGATTGGCTCTTCCGTCTCAAAAGTTTGCCGACCCCTGGGCTAGACCTTGGCACTGTTGACATTTCAGGCTAGATAATTCTTGAGTGTGTGTGTCAGGAGGGCTGTCCTGTGCACTGTAGGATGTTTAGTAGCATCCCTGGCTTCTACCCACTAGTTGCCAATAGCACCACCCCAGTCCTGATAATGAAAAATGTTCCCAGACATTGCCAAATATCCCGTGGGAGGGAAAATCTCCCCTCCCCCTTCAAACTCCCCTGCACTGAAAACCACTGGACGAGAGGGTGTCTCTAAATTTTCAGGTCAGACTTTATTGACAGATCTGGTGTGCAGAAACGTTGCTCATTAAAACATTATAGGCAGGCAGAAGACCAAGGGGCTTTCCAGTGATGGATGCACAGCAACCTTTTCCATCCTTTCACCTGATGGCACCCTGAGGCTTAGATGTGTCGTGAGGGCGGCTCCTGGCTTTCCTGTCTGCGCTGCTTCCCTCTTCCCCACGTCACGGCTGTGCAGCTTTGTTCGGCCTGATCTGCTTGGCCATATTTATCATGGCTGCTTCTGTTTCTTCCTAGAAACAGCAGATGGAAGAAGAAAGCAATTTCTCCAGTGTTTTTGACCCCTTGTGCCCCCTGCCCCCCAAATATTTAATCATCAGACATTTCTTTGAGAGTGGGTGCTTCCTGTTAACTCAATCCCAGCCGAGACTGGCCCAATAAACACCTCCGCTCTCTGTCGCAGAGTTTATTTGGCTGGGAAATGGGTATTGCCATGTAAACAGGAAGCCCCCTGAAGTTATTATCTACAGATGCGGTTGAAGAGCCACATGTTTATATTTATGGGATTTGAAAACAGTGAAAAGGCAAGGGAGGAGGCAGGGGAAGCCCTCATTCCCAGTCAGTGAGAGCAGGGCCTACAGAGCTTCGTGAGCTTATGTTTCATTCCCTCTGGAAACAGGTGGTTAACAATAATGACACAGCCAAGAGTCACGGCAGAAAAGGAAGTACTGGTGTCTGATTTAGGCAAACGACCCTACCTAGATTATCAGGTAAACAGTAGGCAGTCCAGTCAGCTGGCCTCTCTGTTCCAGTTATTTGAAAATCATTTTAGAGACCAGTCCTAGGAAATAATGGGGTGGGGGGGGCGGTGGGGGGTGTGTGCATCTAAAAAGGTAGGAGGTTTATTTATGATAAGACTGACACAGCCCCTAAGTTTTTCTGGAGACAACTGACTGCCACAGGTTTAGAGAGCACGGGCCAGCTCACCTGTGAGATCCCAGGCAAACTCATGCATTTGCTCCTAAAGTCAGGCCCTTCGGGGCCAGGAAGGATGACTTCCGTGAGAGCTGTCCCTGTGTCGGTGCAGAGTGTGTGCAAGCAGTGAGACAGCTGGCCCGCACACTCGGACTAGGCACACGTGGCAACCCCCATTTGTTTGCCATCGCCTCTGCTCTCCCTTCACCGGCTCTCGCCTCAGGCTTGGAGAAGGTCCTTTTAAGGAAGGCCAGGTAGGAACTTATATCTGGATCTCTGATGTTCTCTATTTAAAGTATGAGCTTTGAGCAAAGGCAAGGGACTGTTTTCTCCTTGCCACCACTCTTGAGCACTCTTCCTGACTTCCTAGGGGTTCCTCAGCAGTAGCCATCAACCAGGTCTTGGAAGTGAAGTTTTAAAAGAGGTTATGAATCAAAATTTAGCAAAGAAAAGGATCCACTGCAGATGCAAAGGGTAATATATCCTAAGAGGGTGTGTGTGTGTGTGTGTGTG